AAAAATTCGATCATAAATCTTGTTTAGATATATACGCGTGGCACCATTTCTGAAAAGGAATATTATCGAGATGGTACTTTTGGGAGGTAATTTTTTGATTTTTCATTATTTTTTAAAGGATATCACACTGGGGAGGTACTTAAGAGAGGTCATTTTTCGATTTTTTAAGGAATTCTCCCAGCAAATGTGAAAAATCGGGAAAACATAGAAAACCGGGATAAACACAGGAAAAATTGGTACAACAATTAATAATAATAATAATAACAATAATTAATACACTTTTTTTTTTATGAGAAACGCACAAATATAATATATTTAGTTAGTTTATGTCCTATTCACAATCGTAAATTACAGTACTAATACAGAAGAAGGAGAGAAATAATTTCGATTAAAAATAATAATAATTTATGCCATAAATATACATAATACGTAATATTTATCAAAATAATAATACAATCTAATTAAATGCACAAAACGCCATTTAATAGAATATAGTAAGATTAATAATAATTGTAAATAATAAAACGGTAATTTATAATAAAAACATACTACCTACGCCCTTTTAAGTAGATTAAAATATACTATTATTCAAATCAACATTTTGTTTTTACTATAGTATCTTTTACGTATTTTTCTATAAAATTAATTGAATTGATTGGTCAAATAAAAAATATTATACTCCTCGCGGTTGTTAGGCCAGTGTTGTAGGTGTGTAGTTAAGAAGGTGGAATTAATTTAGTTTATATACTAAATACAACGGTAAATCATTGTGAACTAAAAACAGTTCTGAGCATCTGACTACCTGAGTGGAGTAATATTAGTCATGTTTTTTTTGTCCCGCGGTTACTCGAAATTCAATAAAAATAAAATTGATATGCACATCAATATTTGTATTAGTTTTTTAAATTGTATAGAAAACTGTTAGTGATTTAAAAATTGGTTACAAAGAATGTATTTTCCAAGAAAAAACTAAAAAATAAAACTAAGAGGTGAACTGTATTACTCATCTATTCAGGCGTACTACGTGAACAAATTAGAGTAATTAATATTTAAAGTGTTTAAAAAAAAAAACATAAAAATTAATTTTACGGGTTAAATATTAGACATTTTGAAAAATTGTTTGAATGACGTACCATCACAAAAAAAATCGGAGGATTTTTATTAACTAAATTAGCTGTCTGAGAAAAGAAACAATAAAACATATCATAGTAAAAATAAAATAGTTTCTTGGTTACATTCAGAACCTAATATAAAGTACCTATTTAGATAATATAATTTATTTGTACATTAAATATGTTATTTTGCTCGTATTATTTACATAATATACATACAATAGTTATTCGGATTATTCTATAATATGTACTCAAGCATGTCACAAGTGTAAACATGTTTTCGATAGATTGATTCTCAATTTAGTTATTTTTATTTTATTGAATTGTAACATCATGTTCTGTATTATTATTGGGTCAGTTTAAACTAATCCATTATATAATATTAATTTTTGTCACGCGATTCTGCGAATCCGTAATATTAGAGTTTCACATATACTTTTAGATGTGAACGCTTCGCAAATATTATAGCTTTTGATTTTTATTTTGTATGGCTTATACAAATTTATAATGAATCCGTAGTGTTCTTATTACCTAAATATAAGTAAATTATAAATAGAAGTACCTATAGGTGTTTTATCAATGCATTTTTGTTTGGTATAATATAGGTACGTGTATCGAATATTATTAAGATTTGGAAATGATATTGAAACTAATTTGTATTCGATTATTAAACTATAGAATGCGTAACACTACTATATAGCTTTTGGTGAGTTTTAGGGTTTTCATCCCATTGTATAGCTATAATATAGACTATTCTATACATTCGTTTTTATGGTATGATTAACAAATAGGTATTGAGAAATTGTTGGCAATTATTTATCGGTAAGTTCGTGACATTTTATATGAAATTCGACATTGGTTAATTGCCTTGGAAATTGTAAATTTATACAAAATATAAAATATCTTAAACTCAAATTGAATAAAGTAATTATTTTTAAATATTTATATACAGAAAAACTCGAGTAAGTTTTTCTTCACTTTTTAGTATTAAAAACATGTATTTTAAAAAGTTAACTATTTTAGATTCGGAGCGTAGTGAAAAATGTATTGGTTTTACAAAAATGTTTTTTTTTTTTTATTAACTGTTAACTAATTTTCTAATAGAAATCTTGCTCCGATTTTCAAGTGTAGTAGCTTTTCTGAAAAAAAATTTTATGTGAATTGCACTATGGAGGTTATTTATTGATTTTTTATAATAATTTAAAATAACCGTGAAAAAAATGTGGAAAAACAGGAGAAAAGGTACAATATTAAACAAATATTACTAAAGAAAATATAATATAATATACATTATGTAATTATTTTGCCATAATATGACATATATATATTGTTGACAAAGTAATATACTATCGACCGAGCTACGCTCAGAATCGTTTTTCGTTAGCCATGATTAATCGTTGCATAAAAATATAAATTAAATTTCTCTCTAGGTAAATCTTATCTTCCCAACTTCCCACCAATAATGGCCACATCCGTTCTTTTTCTTTTTTTTTTTACTTATTATAATTAACTACACGTCAACTGATATTATATAAATCAAATATTTTCTTAACTTAAATTCTTTAATTAGGTATACAATGTATACTTAATTAAAAAATTGAATATACCAAGTGATCCATTTAAGTGGGTATATTAATTATCTCGGAAAGTATTAACTTTTTCCGGAATTTGTTTTTTAGAACATTTAAGAAACAAGCTGTTCTACAATTTTATATTTATGTTATTTTTTGTTACCCTTATTTTTTAAGGGATAAAACCACTACTTACTTTTAATTTTAAAATGATAACCTATATTAAAAATTCTATAAATAGACGGAGTATTAGTTAAAATAAATTTTAGTGTTGAAATTTTTTATTTCTATCAAGTCGTTGACGAGATATTCCACTTTTAAATTTGGGTTGGATGAGAGTAGTGGATAGTCATTTGAGTGGCGGTACGGCGCGCAATGGTATTAATGCACACTACTCTCCTCAAACACAAATGTAAAAGTGGAATAGTAAGTAGTGGTTTTATCCCCAAAAATAAGGGTAACAAAAAATAACATAAATATAAAATTGTAGAACAGCTTGTTTTCTTAAATTTTCTAGAAAACAAAGTCCGAAAAAGTTAATACTTTTCGAGATAATGAGTGTACCCACTTAAATGGATCACCCGGTATACAATATAGTATGCATACTATACAAATGTTGTGTACATTATCTCTTGTTTCTTCGATGATTACTTGAATTAATTTTATCTCACGTATATAGAATATATAAATATTATATAAAGGTTAATAAATTTGATTACTAATTTCTATGCAAATCAAATTTTAAACATATCTTAATTAAACCTCGTTAGTCGCCTTAACGACGTTCCGCGAAGTAAAATATTGAAATATTTAGTACAAAATATAAGTTTACCGGGTGTAATTTAATACGGTATACTATTACACTGTGTGATAATACAGCATAATACTGCTACTACTAAATTAACATAATGGGCATTTTACTTAATTTTTTTGCGCAGCAATGGGGTGATGACGCACTTAATTACACTTTAAAAGCAGACGGTGTAACTTTGCGATCACCATCATCACATCATTATATTATTATAATACGTATATATAATAAGGAAATGCAATGTTGTATATTATAAACTCGAAACAGCGAAGCGATACAATGAACGTGATTATTATATTTTCAACATTATCATCTCGGTGAAAAACGCGCGCACATATATTTTTAAAATAACAACGCGAAATAAATGGGATCGTATATTTTTTAGTTTTTAATCAAACCTCCGCCTGTCATCGGTTTTGAGGACACCGATTTATCAAAAACGTTTAGATCGTATATTATATTATGTTATTTATTGTATACATGCATGTACAAGCACATGTGCATATTCATACATGTCTTTACATACCTATACATACTATGTAATAGGTACATACTAACACTATACATACTATAATGTGCACTTAAGAGCAGCGGCATTCGTTTAGGTCTTTAGGAATGATTTTTTTTTTCATATCTTTTAAGGCCTAAGCACCTAAAATATCGACTACTGAGAAGCCAAAATTTGCATACTAGGTACTACGTTATAATTACTAAATTTCTGGTTTTTCAATTTTGTAAAATTAATATTATTAATACGAGTATATAGTTCGTATTGTGATAATATTGTAATTTTTCGATTTTACATCTGCGGATTCTGTTGTCAAAATGAGGATTAAAGAACATTTGACCCCGGGGAAGAAGAGGTTAAGTAGATTTTTGGCATTTTCAACATTTACTTTGCTTGTATTGAAAACTATATAAAACTGACTCAAACCCTGGAACTAAAGAAATAATTAAATAATTGATTCCGGTAAAATATGTATATGTTTCTTTTATTTATTTTATCTGTAATTAAAACGTGATTGCAGTGATAAGTGGTAATTCAATTATTATTATTATTATTATTTTATTTTTAAATTTCTCTCGTTCAAGGTTTTGACTCCGGGCATATTCAAATCAGGGTAGACATTCGAATAAGCAAAATAAAAAAAAAATCAATAATGGTTTTGGACTCTTAATATTCGAAGACAAAATGGAAAAAATCTACGACGCGTCTAATGGACCGGTACAAAGATTACCTCCGTATAAACTTTCGGCGTCTCAGCCGTCATACGCACGTGCAGTAATTCAAATGTTCTGCGGCGGAGTGTGCCGACAACGTGTGCCGACCTACCTATTTAGCTACGTGCCTTGCGTACTCCGCCAGCGCGAAATCGATAGCTACCACGAAAGTGACTCGCCCGGCGAGTTCGTGCGTGCAGGCAGCCCGTCACACCACTCACACCGGCGTCGCGTCGGCTGGGACGCGTCGCGCATATAATATCAACCGCCGCTGCGATAGAGAAAATGCGTCTTGGCCGAGTGTGGATTTTTGCGCCAGGACTTCGCGACGGAACCGCGATCCGGTTCTCCCTCCGGTTGCCGCCGCCGCCGCCGCTGCGTGGCCGGCAGCAGACCTGCCCGGCACCGTTCCCTTCCCCGTCTTCGCCAGAATGCACACGGACACCCGGACCCGGGTGCGGCCGCGACCTTCCGGCCGTGCCGAGGGACGTGTCCTCCCGTAACGCCTACACAGGCGTGTCGGTGGACCAGGGCGGATGGACCGGGCGTGGCGTGGCCGGCGAGTGGACCCAGGACCGCCTCGGAGGATCCGCCGGCGACCAGGAGCCTAGAAGGCGAGGTGTACCGATCGACCGCCGCGGGCGGCGGCCGCGGTATCGCGCTGCCGACACACATAGCCACGTCACGCGCATCGGACCCTGGTCTCTCACATACACGAGCGACGAAGCGACGGTGCGCATTTGACTGCATTGACATTGCGCATAACGTTGGATAACATGAACTTTCTTTTTTTCTATTTTTCACCATTACTTGAGTAGATGCCCGATATTTTCCAAAACTATTTTAGCCTAATAATAATAATATAAATAATATTCCATTCTATGAGTTAAGATCGTTATTGATTTTTTTTTTTTTTTATTATTATTACTCGAATTATTTTGAATATCCCAATTCAAAAATTAAGAAATTAAGCGTCCACAATGCGAAAAAAAGTACAAAATAAATATGGTTGTTTACAGTGCGATACGCATACCTATTGATCGATTTCTATTGATAACATACAAATGTTAAAGACAAAATTTCGAGTAGAAAAAAAAAAGTAACCCAGAATAATATAATATTATATTATAATCATTACCCGGTTTATATAAGGCGTTATCCTCAAGCCCATCAACGTTCTGTATGAAAAATATAACTGGTATAAATGTGTAAGTTTAAAAAGGTCACAATAATAAAATAGTAACGATGCGGTAGGGGTGGATTTCCAATTCACCGCTTCAAAAACGTTTACAAGCTGGGTAGTAGGTATATTACCGTTAATAGCACGATAAAAAATAAATATTATATTAAATGTAAATTAATTATTAAACAATAATTATTTTCCAAGGAAAATGTCAAATTATTATTAACCTTTAAAATTAACTAGTCGTATTAACTTATATATTTAAGACATATGCAAAATATAATGAAATCATATATTATGTTTCAAATTTTAAAAGATTTTAATAAGTGTTAACTGTAGGTTTATTTATATGGACATATTAATAAAATTAATATCAACCCGAAGTAGGTGGATACATATTTTATATTTTATGGTTTAATAACAAATACCTTTAATATTGAAAATAATGACAAAAACATAAAATTGTACGAAATTCGTTCTTAAATTTTTTACACATATGTTTACTAGATAATAACAATTTTAAAACTAGCTATGCTCAGGCATTTTAGAATTTATAACTCAATCAAGTGATAGGAGAAATTTAAAAATATAAATAATTATGTGAAGTTAAAATTATGGATGTATCTAATTTATTATGATAATTAAAATGTTTAAAATTCGAGTTTACGTAATTTATTTTAGAGACTGCAAACATTAACACATAATTGAATTATGTATGTAGTTTATAAAAGTCAATAAAATATACCCTTGCATATACAAATTTGTAAATAATTAAAACGACTAGTTTCTATTACAAGTATTTACAACATATTTTTAATGAAAATGTGTAATATGATTACAAACTTGTGATTAAAACTTTCTCTTTATTAATTAACATGGTGTACCTGTATCATATTCAAAATTAAAATTAACCACAACTTTAAAAGGGTAAAAATTGTAGATATATTATATAATCGTATTATTTAGCGTATGATTTACTTTTTATAATGCGTATAGGCGTGTATAATATTTTTCGGATAAGTTTACTTTCGAGCACATTTTTAAGTAAATGTCATTACTGTTATAATAATAAAAAAGAAAACCTAGAGCCTGAATAATACTTTACCTTGTATTCAAATTCTTGTCGTTCTAAAACTGTTTTACATATCGACACGCACATGTGCTCGTACAGTTTTGCATATATAATAGGTATACAACTTTATGTAGGTATATGAATAAGTGTGTGAATGCATCGCAAGTATAATAAAATAATATATTATATATTTACGAGTACACATATAAAATACATTATGTTTATATTTGCGTTCGTACTTCCAACGGAAAAATTCCATTTTTGAAACGAACATATTTAAATATAATATACGAATATAAGACATGTTAGCTGAGAACTAAAATAACTTTTTACATCATTCAAATAAAACTACAATGATAGTAATAAAATTAGTACGGGTTAAGTCCAGTGTATTAACAAATTATAAAATCAAATAATTGATCAGCAGCACTTAAAACAGTATAGGTAGTTCAATAAAGTTGTATGCTTTCTCTCATTTAAGTACCTTTAAGTATATATACTACTTATAAAATTGTGACAATGAGTACACATAAAAACAAAACCCCAAGCCGTATTCAAGAGTAATCTCTATTAAGGAGAAGAAAATGAAATCTCGGTTTGTTAAATGTATTAATTAAAATGTCAAATTTCTCTTGGGAATCTGGAAATCTAGACATTGTTTTCAAATAAAGAACCACCAGACGAAAAATCTTATCTTTTTATAAGATACGAATAATTTGGGCCATTTTTACACAGGTACCTATTAAAAAAAAATACAGTAATAAAATCTAAACTTATAGTAAAATATCTTCGTTTACAATAAATTAAGAAAAAGAAAAATTAACAATATTGTGGAGTATAATGAAGACCATTTCTCTACTAAAATAAGTTACAATTTTCCTCCAAGATAAAATAAAGACGCTAACCAGTTTCTTCCAAGTATTGAAATCAATTTAACTAAACAAATATAATCATTTTAGCTGGCACCAACTACCTTGATCATTATGTACTGATAAAAAATGAACTTAAAAAAACTTTAACAAAATTCTGTCAAATATTATTTATTTATTTATTGTTGAAACGTAATGCATTTTGCTTAATTTTTAAAATCATTTCTAAAATTTAAAATCAACTGAATTTTTTAACTTGTTCGCCTACTGATTAATATCCAGTCTTGGTTTAAATGTAAAAATATTCTGAAGAATATTCTTGGCCTGCAGAATATAAAATTTATAGCTGTATGCAGGTATACAAATCATTATGAATGGGCGTCAATTTCTTATTTCGGTAATATAGGAAAATTGGTAGTAGATGAAAATGGCATTTAATTTTTTGAAGGAAATATTGCTACGTTTCATACGACAGGTAAATAAATAATTATGATTTATATAAATTTATAATCGACGATATTTACGTAGTGTAATATATATAAAAATAGATGATTGAATGAATTGACGCGCGATAAATTGGTGTGACACCTACGCAAATATAAAATCAATTACCATGTAAAAACGGTAGCATACTATAGGTTTAGGGTTGTGAAGGGTTTTACATTCTCAAGCTTAAAAACAAATAACTCATTGTATAAATATAGTCGGGTTTTAAAGTTTTAATTTATGTATAATTTCGAATACATTAAGTACGTATATTTAAATTGTATGTATTTATAATCTGTTTGATTTAATAATATTAACCTTTTTCTCCTGCACCTACACCACACGATACATTATGTGATATAGGAGCGTAGTACCTATTCACATTTTAATGGAAATTGAATAACTTCATAGTAGCGAAATTTTTAACATATATATTGTATAATAGATGTATAAATACCTAACGCGTTTTGGACTTTATAAATCCAGTATGCTAAAAATTATTTTATTATTTCATTATATATAAACTTTCACATTTTTGCATGCAGTAGGTGTATAATATATTACGATGCGCATATATTATGTATACATGTCTGAAATCTCTAAAACATATTTTCATTTTATTTTATTTGTTGTGCAATAAGGACAACTGAAATATGTTCAAAGTTTCTCTGCGTTAACATTCAACTATAAGTGGATATATTATTTTACAAGTTTATTTTTTTGTCTTTTAATAAAAAAAAAAAAAAGGTCAAATTAAATGTTCACGTAGCAATAAAAAGGCTGATACTGCTGAAAGGAAATTAGAAGAGATGATTTACAGAGTAATTTTAAGTTATTCTTTACGAAATGTCCACAACGATAAACCATTACAAATGAAAAGCGATTCTAAGCAGAGTATTATTAGTCGTCATTTTCCCTTTGTTGTCAAGGTAACCAAGAAAAAATAAATATTCAGTTTTTTTCATTTATTAAAAAAACCACAAATAAATCAAAAAATTACCTCCCCAGTGTACCTACTGGGAATTCTGCAAAAACCTCTTAAGACCCCTGTTGAAATCAAAATTGAACATCAATACTAAATTATTAATTTACAAGTCACTACTTAGGCCACTTCGGACCTACTGTATCTAACTGTGGGGAGCCGCTAAACTAACGTCCGAGCTATCTATGCATTCCAGTCCATATGCCTTTAATTAGTTTCCCCTGCACCCTGGTACATTACAAACAACAATATCCATAAGGACCTTAAAGTCCAAAATCTTAACCTAATTTTCAAATTATATCACACCAGATTTCACAATAAACTCCAAGCACATATAAACCCACTAATTTCTAAACTTTCAACTAACACATTTCCCAACAATCCACCTCGTACATTTAAAAGGAAACGGTGTAAAGACCTCTTTCTTTAGTTTGCTTAAATGACATAAGTGTTGGATGCTACCACTGGTAACACCTTCCTAACCATAACACTCTTTGTATTTATTTGTTATTCTTTTTATATGTATATATTTCTTTTTCTTATGCATTTCTTACTGTCACTTTGCTGGGGGTTACCAGTGGGTAACCTCCCTAATCTTAAGGCTCACCGTTAATTGCATTTTCCTTTGTCTTTTATCAAACCTACTTATTGTACAAAACTGTTAGATTGTATATTACTTGAAAATAAATAAACAAAAAAAAAATAGTAAGTTTTAAAACAAAAGTTAATAAATTATAATAATGATATACAAGAACGGAATGTCCCATTTTACATTGTTTTACCAAAAGTAAACTTATTATAAACTACTAGGTATATTTATTTTATCTTATTTCAAACACTATAATTTAGAAAAGTTGTTAACAGATAAAAAAAAAAAAATCTTTGTAATACCATAGGCTTCTTCGCTCCACTCAGAATTTAAAATATAACTATAAGGCTATACATACAGACCTATAGTGTATTCTGCGTGTATTCAATATTATTTACCTATACAATAATTATTATTGTTTAAATAATCACTAATAAAATCATACATTTATAATATTTACGAGTAGGTACTTAATACGTATACTATAGTAATTATTATTCTACACAGCTATTATAATTTAAATAACTGCCTCGTCGTTACTATAAGAACAGTTTTTTTTTTTT